AGTGGATTCAAGGCTATCCAATAAAAAGCAGTCTTTGTAGCCTTATTTCTGTGCAGCTTACTACGGATATGTAGAGCAAAAAAAGACCGGATGATTACAAGCATTCGCCTAGATCGTATTCTCCGTAACTTTTGTGGGCAAATTCTGAAAGTACCTAAAAACGGAATTTAGCTTGAATAAACGATCTCCGTCTAGAACGTCTTACAGTAGCAAATTCAACCAAATAAGTGGTTCAACCAATTCAACCACCAGAAATGCATAACGATTGGTTAAAGGAATATGTTGACATCTTCAATTTGTAATGATGCAATTCGGCTCTCAATATAATATGAATAATCCGCCACTGTGATAAGTTAGACTTTCAAATAGCAATGATGCTTGCTCTGCACAACAGCTTATGTCCTAATTGGTCACCAGCTACTTTGATGTTAGTGGTTGTTTGGAACGCTGGCAAGAAAATGTTCGTAGTTATATTTGACTCTGCTCTGCTTGTTTTGGGTGGCTGTGCAATCCTGCATCGAGTATTCACCTCAAGCTGACTCTTGTATCAGCTCTGCTTCTGACACTACGAGCTCAGGAAAAAATCGGAAATTTTGCTGAAATCTAGCCCGAGGGTACTATGCAAAGATTTGCTGGACTTTGAGACTTCCACCTACCCTCAACTTTGAGTAAGAATCGATAATCTAGAACACGGGCGCTCAACATTTGAGAAGTTCAAACGGATCACAACTCCCTTTCACTCTTTTTTCTGAGAAGAATTATTGGCATGCTAGATGATGACACATGGTCTCAAAGATAGATGAGGCAAACCAAAGAGATATTTGACCGTGACGCTAACAAGAAAAGACGTATGATTCACATCTCAGTGAGGGATCGAAGCCCTCAGACCCTCGAAGCCCTGGGTAATTCATCCGCGACAGCAAAGCCTTGCTTATTTGAATCACTATTGTAGAATCCGTGCCAGGGCCAGATACGAGTCGGTTCCTAGAGTTTCTGAAAACAAATTATCCCTTGTTGGAAACGTACCAACTTAGGGGAGGATGAAAACAAATAGAGTCACTAGTATGGACAGAAAATCGTGAAATAAGATTGAAATATCAAAGTGGAGTCAAATACTACGCACGCATTGGCATTGGAGCGCGATATCTAACAAGCGATTTGAGGAGAAAGTAATGAAAAGAATTAAAAAAACAGAGAAATAAAAAATCAAAAATATGAAAATATTGTAAAAATGTCTTTATGCTCAGGGATAGATTCTTGACCTGAAATCCATGATAAAATCGAAAACTTTTGTGAACTTACAAAAATATATGCTCCATACTATTTCACAATCAGACCGTAGTGTGGCCATCTGGGAACGAATTTTGGAACAGTTATTGCTTCACATAGTTTTCATAACTTTTACATCATCCTTCCGTAAATGGTATGCCTACAGTCCAAATTTACTGTCATATGCTTGTCTTTACCTGTAAACAAGCCACTGTTTGTCTTTGTTTTTTTTTGCGTCTTTCAGCCATTGTTTCTTTGCTTTTAAATCGCTCGCACTTTTCGCAAGACGCGATAGAGCGCGTCCATCGTGTAATAACTTGTTTTCAAAGTGTGTCTTCAAAGCTTGTGCTTGACTGGATGGTCGATTTTGGCACTGCTTCGTTAGTAATTCATGCACACAATTTTTCGGGGTCGCGCCCCGCACCTCGCAAAAACGATATCTCTTTTGCTTTTTGTCCTAAAACGAAGTTCAGCCTGCTTTCATTCAATCTGTGCCGGGCCCTGTGCTTTCGTCGTAGCGTTTTACAGGATAGTCGTGGCCATCACAAACACGAAGAATCCGTGCCGTTGATGATTTACCTATGCTTGCTATGCCATAATTGGTAGTTTGATAATTGATTATTCTCTAATGCAATGGATGCATAAGCGGGAGATGCTGCTGCTTTATGAGCAGAAAGCTTTTTTTAGATAGTCTACAGCTTTTTGTGCAATCAAACGCCTGTTTTCTCAGCTTCACTATGCTTTCAACGGAGAGCTGGGAAGCACATGATTTCTGCTTATTCTTGATTTTGATGAAGTGGACTAAGCAAAGCAAGTGACTCACAAAATCACAAATCCTCAATAGTCTAGGTTTTTTCTATTTTTTCTGTGGTGAAAACTAAGAACAAAGCCGACAAATACTTTATTCGTTGCAGAGCTTAAGTTCCTCACACACCGAATGATTAGTTTTTTTGAAGAATGGACCGAATCTTGAATCAGGTAAATAGGTCCTCGGCCCTGTTGTCATGATCTCGAAGCACCTATCCCTAATGCATTTCATGTACTGCGTAGAATTCCATCTCTGTTGGCACATATCACTCAAGCAACTCCTGATGCACTGTAAAGCAAAATTCATTGTAAACACATAACGTCAAAGCTGACTTCTGACCCTGGATTCTGCCTCGCTGACTTTAGAGTTCCACCTAGTACAAACTTTGAAATCGCGTTCTGCTCTAGCGCCATTGTAGACACAGATCACAAGTGCAGACAACAACAGATAGTGAAAGATCATCTTGTAATGATACCGCTAATCCTCCTAAATACCAATATTGACATTATTTGCTAAAATAAGAGAGAAATAAAGTCTGAGTAGTTATTAATTTCATTCCAAAATTCTGGAATTCTCCTAACGCATCTCTGCAGCCTTTAGCAAAAACGTTGCCAGAAAATTAAGTTAATTACTTACCTTACCAAAAAGTACGCATTCTTCTATACGATGTTAAAAATGGCGAAAAGCTACACTGTGTTACACTGGCGATAACTGCAAAGAGATCGACCACTAATCCGTTTTTATGCAGGTATTCTCGCTTAGAATGAGCAATTATTTTTCCAAATATGTTGTAGCTGGCGCGAAGAATGCATGCATAGACTTTTTCCACTGTTATAAGCCCAATTTTCACATTTGGGAGGCACAGAGTCAGGCCGCTTTAGCTTACAAGGGAATGGTCAGAAGTCGAAGTGGCCAAACCAAAGAAGCTGTATATCATTCGATGCAGTATAAAACGCTGACTTCAAGTCTGTCTTCCTTATCTGCTTCCCGCTTCTGTGGACGAAGCTACAAGCAGTTTTACTGCAAAAAAATCCTACATAAAAACAGCGAAATTGAGCACATTGTTGCACTTTTAGCTCGGCTTCTGGCTACAAAACTTTTAAGTAAGCTAGCTGCATGTTTTGGCCCAACATTGAGGCGAACGAGGCTCTATACGGCTAAATTTTCAATTTTACGCATAATTTCTAAGCAAAATAATGGTCTTTAATGGTTTATAATTTCGTCCAGAAAAGCGATAAGCAGATAAAGAAAACAGATTTAGAGTCAGCGCTTCATGCTGCATCCAATGGTATGCAGCTTGACTGGATTGCCCACTTCGATTTCTGACCATTTCCTTGTTAGGAGGGGTGGGGTATCTTGCCACATGTAAGGTTTTTAGGAGTTTTCACATTTTGAATGCTTCACAAGTTTTTCTGACCAGACATATAAAGACGGAAGACAAAAAGGAAGAAATAGTTCAAAAAAAAGTGCAACACTCTTTCAAAACTTTCGGAATGAAATGCTAAAGTAGTAGTACCTGATAACTCTAATCCCGGTTGATGTATGGTTGACTGGATTTTGTAAGAGGTGATCGCTGAGAGAAGATTTGGTTTCTATTATATTTCTTTCAAAAAGGCTTGAACAATAATAGGTTTAGGAGAGATGGTGCATTTGCAGACGCTGGAACCCTCTAAATGGGCAAATGTCTTGATGATATATGTGCTCGTTTGTAACTATTTCTACGCTATATAAGTGTACACAGACTGATGTTAACTATGCCATATTGCACTTTGAATATAAGAAACTTTGTCCTTATATTCTACTTGTTGCGGCAAAGTCTGAGAGTCAAAGTTTACAGTGCATCTTCTTGATTTTGATTTCAAAGTTATGCTACAAAGTACAGCAGTAATTTTCTGTAATAATGTATTTTGAAACAAAATGATCACATGTGCCATATCTATCGCAAGAATTGGGATTAACTATGTAGAGCTTGATTACAAGCGCAAAGGTTTGATATTTTGTGTTTGCGGTACATTCCCTAGTTGAAGACAGTATGGCGTTTCAGAGCAATTTCATCTCAGCATGTAGGGAAGCCTTTGTCTATCTTTTCGAAAATGGCGAGGCAATATTATATTTTCAAGTGTTCCTCTTTGGAACGGATTTGAAATCCAGTCTCAGCCGAAGGCTGTATAGTTCTTAGCACTCAGTAAGTTTACCATGCTTGAATCTTCTAAATGGAATTCTGGTCGACTTTGGTTGACGAAAAAGTTTGATATGCCTTAGGATCATTTCCCCTTCGCACAAGTTTCGCAGTGTTTCTGACTTTGATTTTATTGCAAAGACTTTGTATTGTGTTTAGCCGGAAATTCGCGGTCTTCTGGTTTCGAGTTACAATTTGAAGCAATTACGAAAGCTCACGATCGAGAATTTATTCAAATATCTATGGCAAACAAATGATGCGTGACAGCACAAAAGAGTACACGTGTAGTTGACTCAGATTCTGTGCACTCAACTCACCTGCTCCAGCAATCGTAAATATCCGCTTCTGTTCCAACATGGGATGAAGAGAAATATGTTTTGATGTAGGTCAATTTATACAGCTTTTATACCGTTGTATGCTAGGATTATACTCTTCAAAGCTTCACAAACATCCTATGCTCGGATATCAACGAACCTTGAAGGCAATCTCTACACTGTTAGGGCTAATCAATTGTTTACACTATCATGATTATTGAATACAGGATAATCTCAATTTGTGATTGATTTTCTATGAGAAAACGAGTGCGCTGTAGCAATTCTTGAAATTTCACGATTTTTCCCATGGAGACAGCTGCTAAGAGGACTAATAGTGCCCTACTCGTTTCCTTTTCATTTATTTTTCAACTCTACAAGTTGATTGATTGTTAATATTGGGTGGAAATAAAGCTTTATTAGCGATCTACTGTCATATCTTTGCGAAAGGTGGCATAGGGGATTTGGTCATGACCGCTAGCCCGCTCTTTGGAATGTCCTCTGTCATTAACTGAGATTGATTCCAGGTAGCCTAAAAGCAAATATTTTGTGATTTACTCCGCTTTTATTGATGTTTGTAAGGTATTTTGGCCTTCTTGGAAAATGATGATATCAGATGAATGTCTTTCCTGTTAAGAAGAAAGACTTACCACAAATTGTAAACCTTCTTCGACTGTGTGGTCACGTGAGTAGTTCAACACTATCTGCAAAACCACGAACTTATTGGTAAAGGCTGAGTTTTCTCCACTTCCAAATTATTTCAGTGAGAATGACATAGATCTTTCTCGGAAAACAGGTAGAACTGGGACGCAAATAATCTCACCTTTGTACCTTGTACGGCCACTGGACTTTTTTCAGCAATCTTTTTAGCAGTATCTAATACTCCCTTTACCATTTCTTCTTGTGTGGCATATACATGACTAACCAGATCTGATCATATAATGTATCGGCAAGTTGAAATGAATAATAGTTGAAATGAGCAGAATATCTTACCAAACTTCAAGGCCTCATCAGCGCCAAAATTCCGAGCTGTGAGAGCAACCTGAAGGTGGTTACATCAAAAAAGTCCGCTATATATGGACGAGACGTTAAATCCATTATCCAAAAAATTTTGGTATGCTTCTTATATTTTTCGCAAGCTTATAACCCTAAAGTATTGTAAAAAAAATTGGGCGCGCGGCGGTGACGCTTGGAATACTTTGTCATTTGTTGCTGCTTAGTACTATTCCAAAACCTACCCCCTATAAATTTTGCAATCTTGCCGTGAGATATAGTGTATGATATAGTGTATCAAAATTTTACAGAAATGAGTGCAAAAGGTAAGAGTGAAATATATGTAAAAACCTCCTTCAGCCAACTCTCATTGCCACATATTTTCGGGAGCCGGTTCAAACTGCCCACATCAGCAGCCAGGCCCACGTCCACTTCCTACAAAACATCTTTAGGAGCAATTTTACTTGGAAGAATTTCAGCAGACATGAGTGCACTAAACACCTACTGTGTCGTAATTCTTACTTTTACGGAAAATAATGCATCTTGTGTGCAATGACGAATGTCGCATGCCGAAATGATGTCGATTCCACCGCCAAAACACACTCCATGCACGGCAGCGATCACAGGCTTGCAACACTGAAACTTTTGATATTGAACTGAACCAAACGATTGCAAAAATGAAATGCACACATAAAAAGGGAATCTTGACACATTACAATATTTAACAAAGGATTTCATTCTGACCAATTTTTCCGTTTTCACAGGCAATTCATTGCACGCAGAGACTGCATGCCTTTGCGTCTGAATGAGGCAGTACGAGTCGGGAGAGATAGCAGACAGTTGGATAGATGAAAGAGCGTTAAAA